AATGCACAATGACGTTTTATCCAATGGGCGGGAAACAATGATTGGCAAAATTTTCTTGCTTTATTATAGAGTTAGATTAGATTGTTACATTATCCATTAATCATTTGTAAACTAAACACAAAATCATTATTAACCACAATACATATACACGGAAAATAACTTTAACTTTTTTAAACAATAACAAGATAAACAAAAATTCTTTTTATGGTTTTAAATAACAAAACAAATTGAAAAAGTTATTCCTTCTCTTGCCTCAATTCAAAATCTGTTCCGTATTGAAATCCATTTCAATTTGTTGTCACCATTGGAGAAAGCACCCGCCAGCCAGCCAGCGCTCATTCCCACCGGCAGCGCGCCAATACTGCGAACTGAATCAACTGATCCGATTGTTCTTCTCTGATCACCGCCGTCAGCTGCTCAATCAAGTATTCTCAGATCTCCGCCACATGCGGTTCTGATCTTCTTCCGATCTGCTCAGTTAATATTCTGCCATTAGAACTGCAGTTTTTGCGATCAGATCCTTTTTTCCGAGTTGTTTTTTTTTTTTTTTTTAATCGTAAAACTCTTTGAATCAGTGTATATATACGAATTATGATGTGCATTGCGATGCTTTTGCGTGGATTTATGGGGGGATGTTATTGTTGTTTGATTCCTCTGTTATCATCTTCCTGGATTTGAATTTGAATTTGTATTTGCATTTGCATTTATGTTGCAGCCCTGCCGGATATCGGATTTTGCAAAGCAATCGTGCCGTTTTAAGGATCAAGATGGTAAAATTTCCATTTCCTTATCTTCGTTCCACCGCCCAAAAAAGATATCTAACCTGCAATGGCTGATCTTGTAGGATAGTCTGAATTCTTTTGGATTTATAAGTTGATGGAGGTGATTGGCATGCTCTTGAATCTTATGAATTGTATTCATTTGCTGATTCTTGTTCTAATTTCTGAATCAGGTTGTTTTGGCTGCTTCCATTATAACTAAATCTGGGAAAGGTAATTTCATCATATATTCTCTTATGGCAGTCCCTTAATATCTCAATTTGACATGAAGGAGAAGGGAAACATTGGACTAGTAGTATATTTTTATTCACTTTAGGACAGACAATGCCACGTGCCACTATGTTATCACTCACAAACTTGCCACTTGATGTGGCAAGTTTTAATAGGTTGAGATTTAAAATAAAAAAGAAAAACAAACCTATTAAAACTTGCCACATGTCACATCAGGGAGTGGCAAGTTTGTGAGTGGTATATGTAGGGGTAAATAGCATTTTCCTCCTTGCAAAGGTATTTTCTTTTAGAAAATTATTGAACTGGCATTGCTGGAAAAAGAAATGAAAAATGGTTGTTTACTTGACAGAGGTGGGCTTCATTGTGTAAAGGGTTAGGTTGTTTACTTAACTATAAATGCCATGATTGATTGTATTATTTTATGCTCCTTGCAGCACTTGTTTCGAGGCAATTTGTGGATATGTCTCGAATAAGAATTGAGGGGTATCTTGCAGCTTTTCCCAAATTGGTTGGAATAGGGAAACAACACACATATGTTGAGACTGAAAATGTGCGATATGTTTATCACCCAATAGAGTCTCTGTATTTGCTCCTGGTGACCAATAAACAGAGCAACATTCTTGAAGATCTAGAGACACTGAGGCTGCTGTCTAAAGTTGTATCCTTTTTCTTTCTCATTGCCTCAGTAACTGTGTCTTTATATGTTGTTGATTTAGATTCAATTATTTCAAATTCTGTTTATTTTATTATGCAGCTTTCTTTCATCAAATAATTAAGCTGGAAAACCTGTATATTTCCCGGATTTTATTCTTTGCTGCATGCTAGCATTTCCTTTATTGTTAGGAAGAAAAATGTCTAATACAAGATGTTTCTCATAGTATCCATTACCAAAGGACACATTTAGTTCATTTTAGTTCTAATTCCTTAACTACAACTAGGTCCCTGAATATTCTTATTCCCTAGATGAGGAGGGCATTTGCAAAACAGCTTTTGAGCTCCTTTTTGCATTTGATGAAGTCATATCTCTGGGCCATAAGGAGAATATTAATGTTGTACAAGTCAAGCAGTACTGTGAAATGGAGAGTCATGAAGAGAAGCTGCACAAATTGGTCCTGCAGAGCAAGATTAATGAAACTAAGGATGTCATGAAGCGCAAAGCTAGTGAGATTGACAAAAGCAAGGTAACTATTAACTAATAGACCCCACGTAATGTGATCAACATTAGCTCCTTCTGATTATTCTTTGTTGGTGGCATTGATTTTATCTAATGATCTGTTTTCATAATTGTTTTCTAGATTGAGAAGAATAGAAGTGATAAAGGGGGCTTTATGTCCCTGCAGTCATTGGGTTCTTCTGCAAGACATGAAACTGGCTTTGGCAGTGATACAAACATATCAAGTACCGGAAGTGGTTTTGGAAGTGGTGCTTCTGGCTTTGGGTTAACCACTGATGTTGAATCTTTCTCCACCAAGTCCAAGGGTCTGTTTCTGTTTTACTTCATAGTAAATAGATGCGAAATAATATTGCTCTTAGTTACAAGTTGTATAGTCTGAGATATATGTCATTGGGGTACATATAGCTCACTGAAAACGTATGATTAGGTCATTTGCCTTCATCTGCTTCAGCTCCACCAAAAGGTCTTGGTATGAAGCTGGGTAAGATACAAAGGGCCAACCAATTTTTGGAATCCCTGAAAGCTGAAGGTGAAATGATTGTAGAGGACGTCAGACCAAGTGTAGTAGGTCAGTCCAAGCCCGCTGCTGCACCCTTAACTGATCCTGTGACATTGACTGTGGAAGAAAAGCTTAATGTAACACTAAAACGTGATGGAGGTGTCAGCAACTTTGATGTGCAAGGTACATTGTCTCTCCAAATTTTGAGCCAAGACGATGGATTTATCCAAGTTCAGGTTGTTCTCTCTCCCCCTAACTAAAATCTAAGTGCAATTTAGATTTATTGTTGTATGAGTAGATGTAGATTTAACTAGCAGTTTAGCGCAACAACTATTTCAAAAGAATTTGCCTAGCTTGAGTATGCAAGCCTGTTGGTCTAAGAAGGTTGGAACATTTACTGAATAATGCCTAAATTTGTATGTGCCCATTTATAATAATTTAATGTTATCGAGGTTCATTCTTGATCATAAAGTTCTGTTCTTGCAACTTAGTCTAAGGTGTTTCTTTATTATTATGCCAAACTTTTAGATTGAGACCAGTGCTAATCCAGCAGTGCTCTTCAAAACACATCCTAACATCAACAAGGAGTTGTTTGCAAATGAAAATATTCTAGGCCTCAAAGATCCAAATAGGCCATTTCCCACTGGTCAATCTGGTGATGGTGTTGGTCTCTTGAAGTGGAGAATGCAAAGCACTGATGAGTCAATTTTGCCATTGACACGTAATTCTTATCGTCTTTTATATTCCCTCAAACTGTCGATATTTTTCTGTCTCTTCAGTTACCGATTCTGATCTTTCCTTCATTTGATTGCTTTATCATACTGTTTCAGTTAACTGCTGGCCCTCTGTTTCTGGAAAAGAAACCTATGTCAATATTGAGTATGAAACTCCAGCAAACATGCACCTACAGAATGTTATAATTTCTGTGCCTCTTCCAGCACTTAGAGATGCTCCAAATGTACAGCAGATAGATGGGGAGTGGAGGTGACATTTTACCTTATAATTTATAGGCTCTTGTAGTATGCATGCTTAGTTGTATCCCATTTGGTTATAAGAAATGGTGCAAATTAAAGAAGCTGGAAATTTCCTAATAATCAATGATGAGAGATCTTGAAGCTTTGTTGTTGATATATTAAGAAATATGCAAAGCTGATATTGTCTGTTATCACTTGGATTCTTACCATTCAAATGATCTCTAATTGCAGGTTTGACTCCAGGAATTGTGTCCTGGAATGGTCTATAGTTCTCATCGATAACTCAAATCGCAGGTGATGTTTTTGTAATTACGATAATGGTAGGGTACAATCCTCGGTTCTCGTTTAACTCTCACATGGATCCTCTTAATGTATGTTGCAGTGGCTCTCTAGAATTTGTTGTTCCTGCAGCAGACCCATCACAGTTTTTCCCAATAAGTGCACGCTTTACTTCTTCAAGAACTTTTAGCGACTTGAAGGTTTGCCTCGCTTCCCATTTGTTATTTTTTACTCGTGCACCTAGCAGATTACCATGTTGCTCGTTAACCACTGTCTCTCGCAAAGTTACTTGATCTTCCTGGAACTATATGCATAACTCAACGACACAATTTTTGCAGATTGTCAATATTCTTCCGCTGAGAGGTGGGGCGATACCAAAATTTGCGCAAAGAACTCTGCTGGCCGCAGATAATTATCAAGTGGTGTGATTACAAAGAGTTTATGCAAGTGATTTAGAATCCAAAATTCTGCTTTATATATATTTTTTTCTTCTCCTCCCTTTGAATTTTGAGACTAGACATTCTTTCTCTAATAGTTACAGGTGGATATTCTTATATACCTAAGAGGTTACTATACCTAAATTTCTATGTTCTTCAACATTTTGGAGATGTCTTCTCTACCATTTGTTTTTGTGTCAAAACAGGAATAAATTTGGGTTGTCAGTATATATAGATTTAGAAATTGCTTTCATTTGATTGAAACTACTCAGATCTTTATATGTGAACCATAGTCCACATTGTATTGCAAGATGAAGTGACAATACCCATTTCTCTAAATTGTAAACTAAACTAAGAATCGAATCGTTATATTCAGAATGGAGTCTAAATAACCTTATTTTGTTGTTAACAATTGATGAATTGACTCATCATTATCAACTGATGTATAACTGGATAGCTAATGAAAGGAGAACTTGAAAAAATGAAATATTTAGGAAAAGGGGTTTCTTGCTATATAGGTTTAAAGTCCTTTAGAACAGTCCATTTAAAAAGCTAAAAATTTTCCAAAAGGTCCGAAGAAACTGCATATGATTCATTAAATTCATGCAGACTACCTGCTTTTAGTTCATGAAGTGCTGCCAACATCTTAGTGCAACTTTTACTGCTTGCTCTTCTAGCAGTGAGTGTGTGTATGAAACAAAGTAATATCGTCTCATTTATTTAAACTGTTGTTTTTAACAGATTGTGTGAAGGAGGGGAACTGTTAGATAGAATACTATCAAGGTAATGTTTCTTATTTGTAACAACTAACATGAATAGTTGTGTAAGAGACTTCAGCTTAAATGTGTACCTTCTTTTCATTAATCTTTCAGAGGTGGAAGATACACGGAGGCGGATGCTAAGAGAGTTATTGTGCAAATATTAAATGTTGTAGCCTTTTGTCATCTTCAAGGTGTTGTGCATCGTGATTTGAAGCCAGAGGTAATACAAACATTCATTCCATTATCAGAGAATCACCACTAAACTCATCCATATGCAACTTTTCAGTTCATTTCTGCTTGGTCTTTTACTAAGTGGTTTATATATACAAGAAATGAATATGCATATTGGTGTAGTTGCAACTTCTCTAATGCCTGTGAATGTCGGTTTCTTTGCAGAACTTTCTTTTTACCAAAAGAGAAGAAGATGCTCCCATGAAGGTTATTGACTTTGGTCTCTCTGATTTTATCAAACCAGGTAATATTCACTATTCTAGTTCCTCGAATGCTATTGCCTCTTGCAAATGCAGTTGATCTGTGCCTATGCTTAGATACGTACTGCTGTTTCTCTGTTGTTTACTTTCACAATATTAATTACATTGGTAATGATTACCTGTAGCTTTCGAGAACTTTGACAGAGAAGGAAACCGCGTAATTTCTGTAGAGGAATTGGCACATGTAAGTGGTTTTCCTAGGAGCTAGCTTAGCACAGAACTTGGGGCCGACGGATTACGCTCTGCTCAAGGACTGGATAAGAGCGGACGGGAAATTAAACTCCGTGGGGTACACAAAATTCTTGCACGGCGTGACAATTCGCAGTGCAAATGCAAGGTTTCATAGATAACAAGAGGAAGAAGGCATGGATGGATGGATACAAAGGAGATGACAGACACAGGACCTACTGAGTAGTAGTATAGCTGTAATTCTTTCTATCTTCTTTAAAGGTTGAACTAGTATTTTCACACATGCGTTGCACGGAATGTATTTGTTATAATATGTTAATAATATTTAGATTGATATATAATTGTGTAAATTATAATATCAAATATTATATAATGCAATTGAAGAATTGCGATTAAAAAAGTAAGCGTAAAATGTTTTTATAACAGTAGATAGAAACATGTTTAGTTAGTAAGAACTTGTTCTAAATTTTTCTTGAACTCTTTTTCATCAGCAAGCTTCCTAACCACGCTTCCTTCTTCACCTTTTTTGACTGATTTAGCTATTGCTTTGTCATTTTCCAGCCCTAGAGGCACTTGTCATTTTAGGAATATGACAATGTAGAAAAGTTCCCTTAAATTGAAGTGTAAACAAATGTAGCAAAAAACCATATGCATAAACAAAATCTTTTGAATTTAAAAATATTCACACGATAGTACAAAAATACACATCATGGACTACACACTCTATAGAGTTGATTGTTTAAGCATTTCTTGTCTCTGGAATATGATACGTACGCACCACTATAAACGTGATTGCATTTCATCTGTGTCTAGGATGAAGTTTACGTCCAACAATATGGATTTGAGTTGAACCCATGCTTATTTGGTGTAAATAGAAGTCTACAGTTGTAGAAATATGTTGGAAGTTTACAGCTATACGTTTAGCATAATGAAGTGTTTATATAGAAAAAATAACCCAACCCAATGGGGTAGCTCAAGTGGCAAATGAGCTCTCTTTGTGTTAGAGAATTCTGAGATAACCCGGGTTCGCTCTTGTGCCCCCCGGAGCAAATTGGGATAGAACAAATAATTCATTCTTTACGTAGAATTTGCAAAGAATATTACCAATCCATGCGTGTGTACACTTATTGGTGTAAATAACGTAATTTTGTATTAGTATTATCGATGTAAATCTATACTATTAATAAATCATTATTTCCTTATAAAATTACATAATAATTAATAAATCAATATTTTTTTAAACAATTACGTTATTATGCAGAATTTGCAAAGAATATTACCATTTAATAGATATTAGTTACATTTCATATAACAATTTCTTACCAATTAAGTTTTATTAATTCTTTTACCAATAAATAAATTAATTAATATTAAGAAAAGTTTGAGTGGAAAAATTGAAGAGGAGAAGTTTACTTTTACTAATAGTATAGAAGTATAGATATATATTCTAAGAGAATATGGATCCTATACTACTATAAAAATATTTTACAAAGTCAAATCTACTATATTGTATCAAAGAGTTATACGTCTACTAATAATGTAAATGTTATATCTATCTCTGTGTGTGTGGGGTTAATAAACCGATACACAATATATATATATATATATATATATATATATATATATATATATATATATATATATATATATATATAAAATAATATATATTTATACAAAAATGGAATTTAATTTATTGAAAATTAATTTCAACCAATTTTCGTACAAAACCAAAATTACATAATATATACGAAATAATTCCACCACAACTAGTACGAAACTAGTACAAGGGATTTAATCCTTACGAGATTAATCCCACCACTTTACGAAACCAAGAACAAAATTATAAAACAAGAAAGGGTTTCTAACATGAGGTTTTAACCTAACGAGAGGAAAAAGAAGAAACAGAAATGCGAGTGGTGTGTATACACACTCTCCTTAAAATCAATTTGTCACCTCCCGAGGGTGCTAGGAACGTTGTAGCGTTAGTCTCCCAGGATAAAATGGATTACGACTTTGGCGTTCAAGCACTCAAACCAAAGCCCGGCGAACAAGAACACAAGCTGAGCACTCTGACGTTTTACGGAAGATGTTGGCAAAATTTTCCCTTTGTAAACGAATTGAGAGTAGAGAGAAAGGAAAACAAAGATTTTGATAGTTTCTAAAGCTTGAATCAAAACTTTCAGCCAACAACAAGCTATTTGTAGGAGAATGGAATTAAAAACATATTCATGGCCATTAACCAATCATAAATCCATTTTATTAATTGGAAAATAACGTTTGAAACGGTCGTACTTATTATCGTAATAATATCAAAGGTCACGAACTTAATATCCGATTAATTCGTACCGATCATAACGACCTGTTTCAAAATATCTGAGTGACCGAGAAGTCCATATCATTATCCCTCCAGAGCAACGCAATACCACCACCTAGCCCCGTCCTGTCCACGGTCAACACCCCTTCAAACCCCAAACGCACACGGACCCGCTCTACTTGCATTGCATTAGCCTTCGTTTCCATAATAAACATGCACCAAGTTGGGTTGCTAGGTGGACACAAGGCCTACCAATTCCCGAACTGTCCGAGGGCTACCCAATCCTCGGCCGCAAATTATGCTGTGCAACCGAATGCACCATGCGCATGGTGCATTCGATGCAAAACGATGTCGTTTTGGTTAAAAAATGCGCGTCCCACTTAAAGAAGAAATCAGGTTCGATTCCCGGCAATAGCATTTTTATATATCCATAAATTCATAACTATATATCCACAAATTCATAACTATATATCCACAATGAATGAACTAAATATCCACAGTGAATGAATGAAGTAAATATTTACAATGAATGAACTAAATATCCACAATGAATGAACTAAATATCCATAAATTCATAACTATATATCCAGAAATTCATAACTATATATCCACAGTGAATGAATGGAGTAAATATCTACAATGAATGAACTAAATATCCACAATGAATGAACTAAATATCCATAAATTCATAACTATATATCCACAAATTCATAACTATGTATCCAGAAATTCATAACTATATATCCACAATAATGCTATTGCCGAAAATCGAACCTGAAATTTTTTTTTTTTTAAATGGGACGCGCGTTTTTAGTCAAAACGACGTCGTTTTGCATCGTATGCACCATGCGCATGGTGCATTCGGTTGCACAGCATAAGTATTGATCCTCGGCAGTTCCAGCTCAACGTGCTCATTGAGTTGGCCGGGCCTGGCACCCCAGACCCGCCAAATGCAAGTTTTTTGTCACTTCTAGCATGTTTACGTCACTCGTCTCCTCCCATCCGGATGACTCTTCTCTGCGTCGTTTATGCTGTTCTCCATGCATAACAACCTCATTTTCCATCGTATTCGGATCAGTTGCGAAAGCCATAGGAACACCTTGGACATAAGTAGCCTGAGCTGGTAGCTCAGCCAGCAACCACGATGCCCCAATCTTTCGGGATTGTCGCCGTCCAGTGGCGGATTCAGAATTTTTTTTTAGCGGGGGCAAAACATTAAAGCAAAAATGATAATTAGAAAAAAAAATTGAAAAACTTAAAAGGTATAGCCATAAATATTGTTGGATATAAGCAAATTATAAAACATATCAAAACATTATAAAAATATTCATAACAAAATAATGACATAATCCATTTGATAAAATATCCAGTATAAATTACACATCTCATCATGCTACTGGCTCTATTACAATGGAGTATCTGTTCATCATGCTACTGGCTCTATTACAATGGAGTATCTGTTCAAACCAATAACGTCTCCGCTGAGACTCAAACTCACAAACCTTCCAAATGAAAGTCTAACCCGGATACCATTAGACCACATAGTCTTGGTATATATATATATATATATATATATATATATATATATATGTATGTGAAATTGTGTTGAAGCAATATGCACAATTAATAATAGTAAAAATGTGAAAAGGTAGTGTTGGAAGCATATGAAAAAATTCAAACTCTAGCCTACTATAACTTTAAACATGCGCTTAGCCAACTAGGCTAACCCAACTTCTCATAACATTTGTCTATTTCCTAATACTTATACTAAAACTTGTACTATATATACATATATATACATACAAGGGTTGTATAAGGGGTAGGGGTAGGGTGAGTGGGGATAGCTAACCCTACTGCCCCCACTGTAGGTCCGCCCCTGCCGCCGTCCCCCCGCTCTGAGCCAACCGTCGTAAGGGTAATCCTTCTGGGTAAGCATCTCATCATACGCTTTCCTGCAGAATTTCTTTAAATGGCGAAGGAGGCAATAACAGAAGCAAAACATATTCAGCCTCTCGTACTTGAACCGGATCTAGTGAAAGGTTCCATCCCGCCGATTTAACTTCATCCTCCGCTTCAGCGGCTCGTCCACCTTGAGCGTAACCCTAACATGAAAGTAGCTACGCCAGTTCCCTCCGTGTGATTGAAACATATTATGGATGATTTTGATGTATTTTGAACATAGGCAACAATTTTTAACAAATTTTGACAGGAAATACAAAACTGGTTCGGTGTAAAAAAAATAGTTATCAGATCACATATTGTGACTGCATATCCCCTGATCTCCTGATGATGACATCAAAATCTTACACCAAAACAACATATGTAATTGTTCGATAGACTTAACTGAACATAAGAGAACTTCAATTGAAAGAAAGCAGTTTTACAATTCAATAGAGTTAACGATTCAATAAGATGTAAAGTTCACAAAAGACTTGAAACAAAGTGAAACGAAGATATTACATCTAGGCGAAAGAGTTGTATAAGAGCTGACAATGGCATAGAATTTTTACAAAAAATGACAAATACTTTATCGAGGATCGAGAATACTACTTATTGTAATCTCATTTTTAGAATTAGGATGAGAAGTACAAACAATGAAATTGGATTGGCTAGAAACAAATGCAGGTTCTTTGAGTTGTGAAATTGGTGTTGAATGGTCATTGCTCAACATTTGAACTACATCAGACATTATCGGTCTATCCGTTGGAATTGCTTGGACGCATAGAAGTCCAACCTCGATACACCTTATGACCTTGAGAGAGTCACATGATTCCTTTATCGCTAGATCAACAAATTCAAGTGGTTGTTTCTCTTTCCAGTTTTTCCATGCCTAATAAAATAAAAAATAAAATAAATCATAACATCTATTTCTTTGGATAAACATATAATTTATAAATCCAAAGTCATGAAGTTATTAAAAATGCCTACCCATCCTAGGAGAGTGAGAGAAAGTTGAGTCCGAAAAAAATTAGAATTCTTCTGGCCACTAACAATTTCCAATAACAGCACTCCAAAACTGAATACATCTGATTTCTCAGAAAATTGACCATGCAATACATATTCCGGCGGAATGTAACCACTAAGTAAAAAATGAAGATATATTAGCTCTAGAAATATTTGCATAACTAAACATGACATATATTATGTACCTGTAAAGTTATCAATTGACTAATTTGCTAATTTAGAGTGGATTCTAACTAAACTTACTATGTTCCAACCACATGATTTGTTTTCGCCTGAGTTTGGTCAATCTCAAAAATTCTTGCCATTCCGAAATCTGATATTTTAGGTTTCATTGCTTCATCAAGTAAAATATTACTTGCTTTTAAGTCCCGGTGAATGACTTTCAGTCTAGAGTACTTGTGAAGATAAAGAATTCCTTGCGCAACTCCTTCTATTATTTGAATACGTGTATTCCAATCTAAATTATCTTTCTCAATTGCATCTGAGAGAAACATAGAAACTTTGTTAATGAAATTTCAAGGATCCATGAAAATGAAACCTTGAAATTTAATCCATAGAAAAGATAACAAATGTACCAAATAAGAACTTGTCTAGACTTCTCTTGGGCAGGTACTCGTAGATTAATATTTTTTCTTCACCCTCAATGCAGCAACCCAATAGGCGCACAAGATTTGTATGCTGTAGTTTTGCAATTAGTTTCAGTTCATTCATGAACTCCTTCAAACCTTGAGATGATTGCTTGGATAGTCTCTTGATGGCTACCATCCCAAATTCTGATAAAAATCCCTGACGAAAAATAACAAGACTATAAACTCTGATCTTACTCCGATATAATGAAAAATCATTGTGTACATACAAGAATGTGAAACAATTATCATTAAATGGTGACCTTATATACAGGGCCAAAACCACCCTCTCCAAGTTTATTTGCTTCGTCGAAGTTGTTTGTAGCATCAATTATTCTCAGCAAACTAAGCTGTAGCAACTCTATATGATCTTCTCCTAGAAGGGGTGCAGTTGACACAGGAGCCCTTTTAGAAACCCAACCTGGAAATGAACATAATTAAGTTGTGAACCAAAATAACCATTTGATACTTGATAGCTAGGAGTTAGTTAACTGTATACATACCTTTCCTTCCACAGTATTTCCAGGTGAGGATATACACCAAAACAGTAAGAAGAAAGAATGAAGAGACTGAGGTAACTATTATTGCAACAAGACGACGATTGTTTCTGTGAGGTGAATCATAATTTCCACTGCTTCCATCTGCATTATATTAATTAACATTATATCATAAAAGTAATGAAATTAACACCATACCCCACCCCTGCATTTCATAGCAGTCCTCTGAAACGTAACTCAGAAGTAGAATGAAATGACAATAAGCACCGGCCCTATATTACTTACTTAGCTCAGACGCATAAACACGAACATAAAGATCTTGGCCGAAACCTCCAGATGTATTGTGATGTGCCAAATCAACTAAATCGCCAAACCAGGTTATACAATTTACTGCAGAGTAAGAAGTGATATTTGCATACCCAAAAGCGGTGCAGGAGCAGTTCCTAGAACACACCATTTCACAATCCTTAAATGTCATATATCCCAGTGAAGATGAATGGTCAGGCCATTTCATCATCGGCAGCCTCATGAATGTATCATCTTCTCCACATCCCAACGCTATGTTCCTCTCACACCCTCCATCATAGTTGCCCTTATCCCAATCTTTCAGTGATTTTGGTTTAAACCCTTTCAAGCAACTGCAAACTGAGAGCGAATCGTATCTGTCACAGCTTCCAAATGAACCACAGCTTGCATACAATTCACACTCATTGGCTGGCGCCTGAACCGCTATCGACCATTTCTCACTTGGATTTTGCCTTAATAGTAACTGAATATGCCCGTCTGGAGTCAAGATGACCCTTGCTTGAATTGAGGTGTCATCATATCCATAGCTGAAATATTCTTCATCATTTTCTTTACCATAAGAAAAATATCCATATCCTTCTGGGGGAGTGTAAGCACTACTGTAAGTAAACCCTTGTTGTAATAAGGGGATTCTATAATAAGGAAAATCTCCTTTCCAAATGAACATCTGCGGAGATCCTTTAGGATCCACTCCCCACGAGAATTTCCCTGGCCGGGGATCATCACTGCTACTCCAACATCTTATGACGTTCCGTTTTCCGGTTTTCTTGTTTACTTTTAGCCTCATCCCCGCCATTAACGTGTCGCTGTCGCCATCGAAGCTTTCCCAAACGGTGCTCTCACCCTGCTTCACAACAAGATCTCCCGTATCTTGCAGTTGGGCGGCCGTGGATCCGCTGCTGCCGCCTGAGATATTGGTTGACCATATAATAGTTCCTCCGCCGCCGTACAAAAGCTGCAAATTCCCATCATACCCGAGTGTGAAAACGGCTTCAGAATCTTGAGGCAGAGGAGATTCTCTGTTAGCGACCCAGATCACAGTGTTGTTGGTGGTGGTGTACCATATCCCGAGAAAGGAAGAAGAAGAGTTTCCGGGGCGGAAGAATCCTAACGCGAAGTTCCCGCCGGCGGAGACTAAGGTCCGGTTTCGAGTAACCCATTCGCCGGGTCTGAGACTGTCGGAGCTCAATCCAAGATTGCAGAAAAAACACAGAAAGGCGGCTAACAAAACATACGAAATGCAACAAACCCATCCCATTGAGCTTTCCTACGCAACAGCCGCAGCTAGCTGTAAATAGAAAAAAGAGATGATAGGCAAGATGATCCTAGACGCAAGTCTATTGACTATCTGAATTTTCAATGATTCAGGATTTCAGCAGAAGTTGATGTAGATGGTGTTTACTTTCTAGGTGTGTATATTCTGTGGTTCACTGGTTGCATGAATTGAATCATTGGCGCAAAAGGGGAAACGTAACTTCGTGGCAATTAGTAGAATATATCGAATTAAGTGGTCTACCTAAAATTCTATGGTGGTGTACTGTTTGGCATAACTGATTGGTTTAGCGGGGTAGCTGATAGTTGTTTGTGTCGCTGATTTGATCAATTGTTGTATTAGTTGACTATAAGAAAATTATTTTGTAAATTAATTGTTTACTATTAGCTTATTGCTTGTAAAATAATGACATTTAAAAGTATAAATGTATTGTGTTATTTTAAGTTTTAAGTATAGCAAGATGTATAAACTACTCTTATTGATAAACTAGCTTTTCACCTACATTGCACACTGGTTTAATGTCAAATATTTATATTTAAATAAGTAATTCAAAATTTATCAATATAATATTATATAAAAGAAGTTCATTATAGTTGGCATTAAAATTAATATTTAATTTACACTTTTTAAAAAATAAGTATCTAAATACTTATTGCAATTGATATGGTATTAAGTATTAGATACTACTTTTGGTTGAAATTACTTGAAGTTTTATTATTTCGCTTTTGGATAGGTTTGTCATCGTCTTCGTCTTCATATTTCTTGTCCTTTTTTTTTTTTTAGTGCATTCCGTTAATAAATTATAAGTCTATTACAAGTATAATATGCATATATGTTGAGATATTTGATGATATTAATCATCTATATTAATAGTCATGTGTCTCTTGGGTTTTTCATATGTCTCTTGGGTTTCCCATGTGTCTCTTTGTTTTCCATGTGTCTCTTTGTTTTCTCATTTGTATTTATTTTTCATCATCTTGTTAGCACTATATATACAAGTGATTGTATTGAAGTTGACACAAGACACACTATATTAGTTTTTCCTCTTCTTCTTGTTTATTTGTAATATTCTACATGGTATCAGTCGCCAAGGTTTATACCTGCGCATAAACTCATCAATGGCTGACGACGAGCAGCCGCAGGCATTAACAGGGCTGATTAGTGGTACAGAGATTTTTGATGATCAATTGAATGGTAAATTTGATCCACGGTTGTGGATAATTGACATAGGGGCTTCTCGTCACGTTACTGGTGATTCCACTCGAATGACTGATGCAAAAGATATATTTCATTGCCCTGTTGGTTTACCCAACGGAAAAACAGTGGTTGCAACTCGAGAAGGCTCGATTCGATTAACAAACAAAATTGTTCTTTATCATGTCCTTTATGTTCCGTCTTTAAGTTGCAATCTTATTTCTGTTTCTCAGTTAAATGATGCTATGCATAGCAATGTCCACTTTAACTCTTATATGTGTGCTATACAGGACCAATCAGGGGAACTGATTGGAACGGGTGTTAGATGGGATGTACTTTACTACTTCAAGGGAATCGATTCAGTGCAACATCCTACAGTAAATGGTGTGACAAGTTCAGTCAATCTTTGGCATCATCGAATGGGTCATCCATCTGAAAAAGTGGTAAAACTACTTCCGTCTGTTGGCACTGTTGTGGGAAGTTTTAATAAAGCTTGTGAGGTTTGTTTTCGTGCTAAGCAACCTAGAGATAAGTTTCCTTTGAGTAATAACAGAACATCTCGAATATTTGAGAAAATACATTGTGATTTGTGGGGTCCTTGGAAACATCAATCCTCTTGTGGTGCACGCTATTTCTTGACTATAATAGATGATTATTTGCGAGCAGTTTGGATTTATTTGATGATGGATAAAACTGAGGTTTTTTAAATGTTCTTGTGTTTTGTGGCTATGATTGATAGACAATTCTCTCAATCAATCAAAGTCGTTCAGAGTGACAACGGTACTGAATTCAATTGCTTGCGTGATTTTTTTTCTGATACTGGAATTCTATTTCAAACTTCCTGTGTGGGAACTCCTCAACAAAATGGTAGGGTTGAGCGGAAACATAAACATATTCTCAATGTAGCGAGAGCTTTGAGATTCCAAGCCAATTTGCCAATTTATTTTTGGGGAGAATGTGTTCTTGCGGCCACACATCTTATAAATTGGACACCAACACCGTTGCTTGGTAACAAAACTCCTTATGAAATTCTTTTTGGTAGTCCTCCATCTTACAACACAATTCGTGTTTTTGGGTGTCTTTGCTTTGCCCACAATCAAAAAGCAAAAGGAGATAAATTTGCTAGCAAGAGTCGAAAGTGCATCTTTGTGGGATATCCATTTGGGAAAAAGGGTTGGAAGCTGTTTGATCTTGACACCAAAGAATTTTTTGTTTCCCGCGATGTGAAATTTTTTGAGGATGTTTTTCCATTTCCCCTCACAGATACGACTACCAATCCTCATGAAAAATTTGTTCATGAAGATTTTTCTGTAATTGTTGAAGAAGCCGAGCCCAGCTCCACAAACAAGCCAAACCCTCAACTTGAGCCAAGCTCCACACCCGAGCCAACCTCTCAACCAGAGTCAAACTCCATACCCGAATTCAGCTCACAATCTAAACAACACACTAGTACTCTTGCTCCAAATAACCAGGATCCGAATGTTGAGATGGGTCGGGGTATGAGAAATAAAGTTCCTCCAGTGTGGTTGCGCGGCTATGTTATTAATTCTACTGTTGCTAAAAGTCCATCCTCCGTCACACCGTCTCCATAGTCACCCTCAGGTACTCCCTATCCTTTAGCACATTATATAAATTGTGACAATTGTTCTCTACCATACAGAACTTTTCTCGCAGCAATTCTTTCTGAAAAAGAACCAAAATCTTTTAAGGAGGCAATGACACATACCGGTTTAAAAGAATCTATGACAAATGAAATCCGGGCCCTCGGGAGTCATTGGGTGTATCGAATCAAATATAACTCAAATGGGTCGATTGAAAGACTCAAATCAAGATTAGTGGCTCTTGGTAATCATCAGAAAGAAGGCATCGATTACACAGAAACTTTTGTTCCTGTTGCCAAAATGACTACTGTTCGTGCACTTCTTGCCATTGCAGCATCTAAAAATTGAGAACTACATCAGATGGATGTGCACAATGCTTTTCTGCACGGTAATCTAAATGAAGAGGTGTATATGAAGCTTCCCCCGGGCTTTGAGGCATCCGATCCTAAATTAGTATGTCGATTGCGCAAGTCCTTGTATGGATTAAAGCAGGCACTGAGGTGCTGGTTTGCAAAACTTGTTACGGCCTTGAAAGGGTATGGTTTCTTACAATCCTATTCCGACTACTCCTTATTCACCTTTACTCGGAGTGGAATTCAGATAAATGTACTTGTTTATGTCGATGATTTCATCATTTCTGGGAATGATTCTGCTGCTCTTAAGACATTTAAGGCTTATCTCAGCGATTGTTTTCATATGAAAGATCTCGACACTCTAAAGTACTTTCTGGGTATTGAGGTTGCTCGTAGCGCTTCTGGACTATTTTTGTGTCAAAGGAAATATACTCTTGATATTATTTCTGAAGCAGGATTGTTGGGGGCCAAACTGGTTAGTGTTCCTATTGAGCAAAAGCACAAACTCGTCCTAGCTAGTGGCCCAATTTTCTCTAATCCTGCAGCTTATCGGCGTCTAGTTGCAAGACTTATCTACTTAGCCGTAACTCGACCAGCTCTCGCATACTCTGTTCATGTGTTGTCTCAATTCATGCAAGAACCACATGATGAGCACTGGGAGGCAGCTTTGAGAGTTGTCCGTTATTTGAAAGGTACACTAGGTCAAGGGATTCTCCTACGAGCAGATACTGATCTAACGCTACAGGGATGGTGTGATTCAGATTGGGCCGCATGTCTTATTACTCGGCGATCGCTTACGGGTTGGTTGGTTTTTCTTGGCCATTCTCCAATCTCGTGGAAAACAAAGAAACAAACTACTATTTCTCGTTCTTCTGCATAAGCAGAATACATATCCATGGTAGCCGTTACTTGTGAACTCAAATGGTTAAAGTGCTTGTTGTTAAGTCTGGGGGTTCATCATCCCAAAACCATAAAGTTATTTTGTGACAGTCAGTCAACCCTTCATATTGCAAAGAATCTAGTCTTTCATGAACGGACAAAACACATTGAAGTGGATTGTCATTTTGTTCGCGATGCAATTAAAGATAGTTTGATCTTCCCTTCCTAAATTCCTACCAATTCGCAATTAGCTGACATCTTCACAAAGGCTCTTGGGCAAAGGCAATTTTAATTTCTTCTTCGCAAGTTGGGCATTTCAGATCCGCATGCTCCAACTTGAGGGGGGTATCCGCATGCTCCAACTTGAGGGGGGTGTTGAGATATTTGATGATATTAATCATCTATATTATCTTGGGTTTCCCATGTGTCTCTTTGTTTTCTTATTTGTATTTATTTTTATTTTAAGACAAAATATATTAGTTTTTCCTCTTCTTCTTGTTTATTTGTATTATTCTACAATATATTATGTCTTGTAACTAATAAATTACGTACATGTAATTAATATATCATGAACCAAAGTCCAAATGTAAATCATGATAATTTAACTGAACATGAACCATAGAGGCTAGACCTGCCGCTGGTGAGACTCGATCCCTGATCATTCTTTCAACTTTTCACCTTTATGACCAGTTGAGCTGCCCATGCAGGTATCATTATACTGTCATCATACTATATAATAGTTGGCATTTTCATTTGTGATATAATTGTTGTGAAAATAGGACATCACTATAGCCACCCTAGTAAGAATTCCAAATTTGCTTTGAAAAAAATGAGATTAGAAGAAGACTTGTATGCTACGTGTTCAACAAATGCTCCAATTAAGACTAAATTGCCATGAGAATGAAATTCATTAGTAATTGGTACTTCAATGGCCATGAGAATCACATGGCATATTTGTTACATCTTGCTAATTCTTTGCATAACCCCCCAATCCTAAGACACCCATAGCATCTCCGCAAGGGTTGGCCTAGTCCAAATCCCCTTCTTTATCTATTGCTTGTTACTTCTATTGTTCATTACTTGTAATTGATTGCTCCTATGAACTTCTCAAACAAATTTGTTAGAACTAGCTTTTAAATAGTACAATCGACATGTTTCGTGCTTACTCAATTGCTTGCTCCTATGAACTTCGCAAACAAATTTGTTAATTAGAACTAGCTTT